CCCCAAAACCCCAAAACCCCATGAATCTAAATTGATACTAAAATAGGAATTAATCATGTTAAGTATAAAATTAGAAATCTTGAATATATTTTGGTTTTTATATTATTAATCTTAATTCCAAATATTTTTGAATCTTCTAGGAAATAGATGTCAACTTTATCATAATCATCAAGTAGCTCCTCACAAAAATATTACTAGATTTTTGTAAAAGGGTTCGAGGGTAGAACAATATTGTTGAACTCTAGCTTAAAATTCACTCAAAATACTACAATAAGAGAGCTGAAGGAAGCAGTTTCTGATAGAACTGGCATCAATTTCAAGGAAATATTGCTAATTTACGGGACAAAGTAGCTAGCAGATATTTATGACAACAAAAACTTAAAAGAGTTTGGTATCCAAGACAACAGTAATCTTGTTATGGTTGGAAGATTAAAGGGAGGAGTAAACATCTCTTTAAAAATAAAACTCTTGAATGGTAAGAATAATTGTTTCTTGCTCTTTGCTTTATCATATATTTTAGATGAGGAAATTACTGTCAATATTGCTGAGGAATCTACAGTACTCGAGTTAAAGAAGCTGATTCATTCTCGCAAAAATCTACTTGGGTCGGATTAAATGTGTCTCATGTGTGCAGGAGTTAAACTTAATGATGCAAGAAAGATTAAATTATGTAATCTAAAGCAAGGATATGTTGTTACCCAGTCTAAATAAGATCTGAGTGAGATTCCTGGATTGATTATTTCATATGATCCCGATATACTCTCATTCGATGATAGTCATGAGGCAAGAGCCAAGATGCCTTGTGGTCATGTAATCTCTACTGAATCTATGACCTAGTTCTTGCAATCATTAATTGATGCTAAGAAGTATGTGATTAAATGTCCCGCATTCAGAGGGGATGGCAGACCCTGTGAAACAGAGTGGGATTACAAGCTTTGCAAAGAGATAGGAGTTCTAACTTTAGAAGAAAGACAAAAATTTGAGACAGGCTTCGAGATGAATATGTTTTATTAATAGATTGGTGGAAAGTAATGCCCATTCTGCGAAACTTTTGTGATGAAAGACATAAATACATAATCAACTAATAGAGTCAGATGCGTAGGCTGCTAAAATAGAATTGGTTCTTATGATTTCTGTTGGATTTGTCTTAAGAAATGGATATCAAATAGCTCTAGCCCCAAACATTGTGGGAATCCTGATTGTGAAAGTGCCAAGGATACTAACAAAATTCTAGAAAGTTGTGGTGTAAAAATAGTAGATGCTATAGCCAACATACCAGTAACAAGAGCATGCCCTAATTGCAAAACTTTGATAGAACATACATCAGGATGTAGACATATGACTTGCACATCTCCAATTTGCAGAGAGAAAAAGTACTAATTCTGCTTTATTTGCCTTTAACCTTGGACTGGGCATAACAACTCTACTTGTCAAGTAGCAGAAAGATAAAAGTTATAAGACAAATAATGATAATAATTTGTGATTCAGCATCGATCAATTTCATTATCAGATTGATTTTTAAGATTCAAATTAATCAGAAGGATTTAATGCACTATTTTAATTTCTTTAATTTTTTATAAAATTCATATCTATGGGGTTTTGGGGTTTTGGGGAGATCGGAAGAGC